CATCTATCCAATCGTCAAACAAATTAATCTACTACCTCTACTCCAACCCTTTTGCCCTCTTTTCCAACCCCATGCTGTTCATCCCTTGATCCGACGACCAAGGATGGCACCCTAGGCTTGCCGGCCGACCTAGGGCAACCCGGTGACGTCCTTGCCCTGACGGGGTCCCTCCCAGGCGAGAGCTTCGACGGTTTCTTTGCTAGTTTGCCTGAAAACTAGCCGGTTCTTCGTCACGTAAGCACGTCGGTTATCCTTTGGTGGTTTGCTTGTAAACCTCTCCGTTCTTCACCATGAAAGAGTGACATCCTCGCTGCGTTCTTCGGTTCGTAGCGGCCCGGGTGTCCAAGGCCCTATTGGTGTTTGATTCGGATCACTTCCGACGTCAATAGGGATAAATGGTGGCTTACTTTAACATAGAAAATTAAAATAATTTGGTATATAATGTTTAGAAAATTGTTTACATGGACAACCATCCTGCGACAATGTAAAATGGAGGGTAGAGACTGAGTAGGACACAAATACATATATAACTGTTATAGGACCCATAAATTAAAAGAGCCTGACGACCGGCAATGTATGAGCAAAGACATGAGGGAAAAAAAGCATGACCAACTAGTGCAAGCTAGGTCGTCAATGGAGCAGTCCCAATTTGCAGAAAAGTGTCCATGAGACCATCTCAAGTTTTAGCCCTAACTCCCTGCAAAATTTTCCTCAAAAAACACTCCCTGCAAAACCTACGAAAGTTCTCATATTAATCTCGAGAAGTATCCCTTTTATGACTTATGAGAGCCAGATGACTGAACTATCTTTTATATGAGAGCTAGATAATAGTTACCTTAAAGAGAAGAATGTATTCGTCAAGGGCAGGTGTATACATGATAACTTCAGTAAAATTCAGTTAGGGCACCCGTAGTGGTGGGTCGACTCGTCATGGAGAGAGAATGCCACCTCATCGCAGAGACCGAGTCGCCTTCTTGCAAAATTGTACTGCCAGGCTTGCATAAAATATAGAAAAAACGAATGTCATGCATGCAATTGTAGGACCCACAACCAAAGTTTTTTTCTCTCCTGCAAAGTGGGCCACTGGTTCTGTACACGGATATTTTAACAGCGACTTGAGTCGATTCTTTCTCTCTCCTGCTTGAGTCGGCTTTCTCTAGTCATTTGAGTTGACTCACGAAGATCCAGCAAGGATGATGGATCGGTTTCAGATGACCACTAGAGAAGCCCTTAACCTGTCCGTGGCTCCATGCCCAACGTGTGCCGTCTATGCTCCTCAAGGTCGATATCGCCAAGGCCTTCGACTCTGTCGCTTGGCCTTTTCTACTAGAGGCCCTACAACACCTCGGTTTCTCCGGGCGTTGGATGGATTGGATCTCTGCCCTGTTGTCGACTGCGAGTACAAGGGTGACACTGAATGGGAGACTGGGCAGGCGCATTTGCCATGCACGCGGCCTGCGGCAGGGGGGACCCCCTATCCCCGATGTTGTTTGTTATCGTCATGGACGTGCTAAATACGCTAATTGCTGAGGCTGATAGGCGCCTTATGCTTTCTCCGCTACCGGAGAATGTTAATCAAGTTCAGAGCGTCACTCTATGCTGATGACCTCATCGTCTTCGCAGCCCCTTTCCAGGCCATAAAAAAAATTCTTTTCAAGTTTGTCGGTCAAAATTAGCCAACTTGAGTCATGAGTATAAATGAAATTGGTTTTTTTAAGGAAATTAATGCAAGTCATAATCAAATTTCTATCTATTTGCATTATAGACAGAAATTCGAATCATTTTCTCGAGCTTTACAAGGAGAAAACCTCATTGTGGGTGGGTGGGGGGGGGGGCCAGGGGCGCTAAGCAGTTCTTTGCTGGTGCTTCCGGACTTATCACAGGAGAAAAGTGCCTCACGGGCATAAGGTGTTCCGCATATCAGGTGAACGGCTGTGTGTTTCCATGCCGTCTAGTGGAGTGGGGTCCGGGTGAGGCGTGCCAACGGCAAGCACTGGTAGACTCGGTACCGGATTCCGACTTGGAAGTAAGTCTGGTCTGCTAAGCAGTTTTTGCTGGTGCTTCCGGACTTATCACACTGTAGACAAGTGCCAGCTCACGGGCATAACGGTGTTCCATCCAAGAAAAGCCAGTGGTAGCTTTGCATGTTCGAGGCGTCCACGATGCGGTTGTTCTGGAAAAGCCAGTGATAGCCATGTTCATCCACGACGGTTGTTCTGGGTGATGGCCATTCCACGCGCTTCTGGACCGACTGCTGGCTGTCGGAGGGTGCAATCAGTACGTTTGTTCATGAGGCGTTACAGGGGAGACGATGGGTATGTGACATCTCAGGAGCTCTTTCAGCTGCAGTGCTCTGTGATTATGTCCTTCTTTGGGAAAGGCTTGAGCAAGTCGCGCTACACAGTCCTCGACAGCCGACAAGTTCTTCTGGCGTTGGACCAACGACGGTATATACTCCGCGTCGTCTGCTTATCGGGCCTTCTTTGAAGGCACGTCGTTCATGCCTGGGGCAAAGGAAGTATGGTGCGCACAGGCACCACCAAAGGTTAAGTTTTCTTCTGGGTTGCCCTCCATGGACGCTTATGGACAGCGGCGAGACGTAAGCGTCATCGCCTCCAGGTGTCCGATCGATGCAACTTCTGCGATCAAGATGTCGAGACAGTCGATCACCTATTCTGTGGCTGCGTGCTGACTAGAGAGGTCTGGAGCCGGGTGCTAGCTAGCTCCTCTAGAGTTGCAGCACCTCTTGGTTCTGGAGAAATAGCCCTGCTCGATTGGTGGCTCAGCAGCAGATACAGGATTACGAAAGGTTTGCGCAGAGGTTTTGACAGTCTCGTGCTCCTGGTTACCTGGACAGTACTGTGGAAGGAAAGAAAACAGAGAGCTGCAGACAGGACGGTCCGGCAGGGCTTCATCGGAGAGAACGTGGGGAGTTAGGGCGTACTTGCCAGCACCACGAGGAAGAGGCCGCGCCATTTGCTGAAGTTGCTAGCAGCCGAGTTCAGGGTGATCGGGATCAACGCCTTGACATTGAGGACGGTGGTGGCCTGCGCCCAGAGCGCTGCATGATCGACCTCGTGTTGGTCGAGGGCGAGCGCCTGGCAAGTGGCTTCGGCAAGGCGCGCAGCCTCGGCGTCATCATCTCCGGCCATGGGGCCCGGCGACTACAGCGCGTGGAGCGGAAGTGGAAAGGATCGTATATGTGGTGAATGATACCATGTAAACGTTACATAGATGGAGTGAATTCCATAACTCACTGAAAGTGTACAGTGTACATATGTATAGGTGCCGGTAGGAGTTAGAGAGGCACAGGAGCTAGAGAGGCACTAATACACGCTAACGCACAAGAGCTAGAGAGGCACGGAAATAATACGCTAACAAGAATAACTCGTGTCTAGCAATGATACAAAGTTTAATTCTAAAATATATTTATTGAGTTAACGATATGCACATTTGCTAGTCCATATAAAATTAGTTGCAGTAATTGATTCATGTTTGAACCTTTCCTAGTTACTCTCTCTATATTGTTCGGTGCATATATTAAAACTAAAAGCAGGCGATTGCTTGGTAACCTCTGTCATCATTGCAAGGGGGCACAAGATCCCAAAAGGCTATGTTTGACGTAATTTAACATTGCTTTAGCAATCAGGCATGGACCTGCGAATACAATGTTCTGCTGGCCTAGAAACCGCAGGCCAAATCTCCTGGAAATATGGTCTTTTGCCACCCATGCACCTTTGGTCCTTTATACATGCATAGTCGGCAGCTTGACATGTACTACTGCAAATGGACGAAAGAATCTGAACAATATACAATGCAAGTTCAAGTTCTTTAACCACTGAATCGTAAGTAGTAGTATTTAAAAAGCATGATCCTCTATAACTGTATATACATATACCTGGATGCACATGGCATGCTCCCTCCTTTAGTTGGCACAGGCATCTATAAAACCATGGAGATGCGCGGCTGTGCGCACCACAAGCATTGACCGGCCTGTTTCTTGCGAATGCAGCCACGCAGAAAGCACAGAGAAGATCATATAATGCCTCTCATTATTGGAATGCAGACACCAGTTGGGCAGCTACAGCTTGATAATTGAGCATTCATGCTGTGCAATCATGTATCATTTGCGCAACGGAAGCATGCATTTGCGATAATTGAACTTGCTTGGCTGCTAGGCAAACAGCACGCAGGATCTCAACCCTTGTGCTAGACAAACAGCACATCCCTGAAGATCAGGTATTGGCATTCAATATTGCGGTTAGGTTAAGTAGGTTTTTTTTTTGGTTTGCCGAGTGTCCTAGATGGGGCACTCGGCAAAGTTTTTTTTTAATTTTTTCCTTCTCCTACTTTTTTTTTACCGAGTGTTTTAGATCTGAGCACTCGGCAAAGTTTTTTTTTTCATTTTTTCTTCTCCTTCTTTTCTAGAAAAAAAGATTTTTATTTCTTTGCCGACTGTATTTTTTTAACACTCGGCAAACAACCTCTTTGCCGAGTGTTTTTATTTTAACACTCGGCAAAACGTCCTGTTTGCCGAGTGTTTTTTTTTTGCCTAGTGTTTTTAGCGCGGCACTCGGTAAAGAACTTGTTCGCCGAGTGACTGAGGGAATACACTCGGCAAACATAAAAACACTCGACAAATTTCAGGATTTCGGTAGTGCAGAGGCCGGCCGGTATGCAAAAGGGCACATACATACATATCGATGACACCATCTTTGTTACGTGTGTATATTACATACTTCATATAACAAGATGAAACTTAACGACGCAATATATGATACATGGAATATATGGAGAGTCCCTAAAATAAAAGTAAAAAAAGAGAGAGAAAGAAATACACTGATACATGAAGACGTACGCCTCAATGAGACGAGATGCGCAGAACTTCAGGGTAGTAAACAACAATATGATACAGAGAGGAGCAGAAGCAGTAATAATACATTATCCAACCATTACAGTTAATTAATATAATACCGGACCCTTGCATTGCAATGCCTTGCTCAGCAGTTGTTGTTGCACTTGTCCATCGCCCTCGGCGCTGAAGAAAATGAACAGACCAGCAGACAACCAAAGCGCACACGAATGTCGTTAGTTAGCTTAGCTTGCTTAGCTCTCAGGTGTTACATAAAACGTCAGACAGTAAGTGAAGCTTTTTGTGAGGCAGTGATGACTACTGACCGAGTCCGACGGCTTCTGATCCTTTCCTGATCCGGAGGCGCTTGCACGACTCCACGAACATCCTGCAATTGGTAAAAAATGGTAAGAACGAGAGCTACGCTAGCTAGCGAGTGAAATGAATGAGAGGTTTCGTTATCTTACTCCCAGGGGACGTCGCCGACGAGCATCCAGTCGCCGTCCTTGTCCTCGTACGTGGGCACGTACTCGTCGGAGCCGCTCACTAGGTCCGCCTGCAGCTTCGTCTCGTTCATCATCCCCTGCTGCGACCCGCAGCTGCCTGAACAAATAAACGTACAAACATTAATTGGAGACTGGACCGTCCACATTATTATCACGTAGGAGTAGAGTATTTCTTCTTCATCAGAATCAGAAAAAAAGAACCTTCTCTGTTCTGTTGATATATATGTACAGTGCGATGTGCGAACGTATCTGTCATGTTCTTAATCGATCAGCAACTCAATCATACATGAATAGCATGTACTGCTGTCAGCCATATCGTCGTCGTATCCTATCGTTCAGCTGGAACAATGGGTATATGTACGTTCGTACATGAGCGTGACATGCACGTTCGTGCTGACACCGTACGTACGTATGTGTATGTTATACGAAGTGCCTGTGGTGGCGTGGTGGGAGTGGGACAGACGAGCAATGCCAGCCAGCCATGGCAAAGCCAGGACAAACAGACACACAGCTCTCTCATAACGTCGTCGACCAATGCAAGCAGGAGAGAATGAACCATGCATAGGTGTGTGTACGTACGTGTGAAGGAGCTGAACATCTTCTGGAGCGCCTTGGACAGCTCCTGGTAGCTCCCGTACGTCCTCAGGTCCACCTTGCGCAGGTACGGCGCGCCGTCCATGCTCACCTTCACAAACACCGGCGGCGCCAACAACTTGCCGTCGTCGCCTCCGCCTCTCTGGGACTGCACGGCTAGGATGTTCTTGCGGAACGACCGGACGGGCGGCCAGCCCACCGCCTGTGCCCTGTGTGCATCAAACAACGTACGGAATGAATTCATCATGCTCTTGATTGACATCATCATCAGAGAAATTACAGACAGACAGAAGATTGAAGATTCGGGCTCCACAGCTTCTGTTACTGATTCATGATATAAACAAGTATGTATCTTTCAGGAAATTGAAAGGCTCTTTCTTTTGGTAAATGTAAATATAAAAAAAAATTCATGTCGGCAGCACTAGCTAGGGACTGGGTGTCATGCTCCACAGGCCCACATGCTGCCCTCCTGTCTTTTTCTCTGCGCTGTTCGCTGTTCAATGTTCATCCAACACGCCATCACTGTAAGGTATGGGTGTATGAGGCTATAAGCTGCGTATCCAGTCTGTACATGTCAAGATCCAAATGAACACCGATGCTTAGGAGTAGAACGCAGACCCAAAATGAGCCTTGCGTGTCATTCAGTCCTCAACCGATGCGTACAGCGCACAAATTTTACAGAAATCCATACATAGCGGTCTCACCCGAAGTGGTTAAAATTCACCTCTCTTTACTTTGATGAGAGCCCGTTTCTCGCAAATACTAACAATTGCACAATCATGCCCATGCATGTTTATAGCTGTTTACGAAGAGAGGAGAGAACGAACAAGAATATATAGGCGAGGAGGACGTATACTTGGGCGCGCGAGGCTTTTCGGGGTCCGTCGGCTGCGCGTCGGCGGTGACCACGCTGCCCTGGCTCGGCGACCTCTTCATGGTCGTACCTGCGCCGGTGGTGGCTACTGGAGGCGACGACAGTGGGACCGCGGCGGGGACGACGACGACGTCGCTAGCCTCCTGCTCCTCCTCCTCCTCCACGTGCACCGCGGCCGATGACGCCGCCGCCGGCTGCTCCAGCTTCAGCTTGAGGTCGATGGTCTCCTCGAAACCCCGTTTCCTCGCCGCCGCGGCGGCATCCCCGGCGTTGTTGCCGCCGGGCAGGCCGAGCCGGAGCTCGGTCTCGTCGAACCCGAGGCCCGCCATTGACGGCGCCGCTCCAATAGAGTGCTCGCGCGCAGCCGCAGCCCGCAGCTGAGGTCGACTTCGATTTCTCGTTGGGTTCTGGGCGTCTGCTTTGGCTTTTGGTTTGTGAGCTGTGAGCGCGGCGGAGATAGGAGCGGCGGCAGGCCGGCAAGATGCAAGCAAGAAGCGGAGGGAGAAATGATAATGGCAGGTGGATGGTGAGAGAGGGACACGGTTCCCTCTTTCCGGAGCGGCGTATATAATACGAGGCCTATCATGGTGTCATATATGTAAAAGGCCCGTCCTTTTTGCGCCAAACTTCGAAAATTGTATGGGCTCCATTTCTTCACCCAAGGGCCCACTTGCAAAATGGCGTCCTTTATTTTTATCCAAACTTTGGAAAAGGTTATTATTATATGAATTATTTTTTTGGTACATTAAACGGCACGTTTTGTTTTAAGGCAAACTTGAATTAGCTGTCTTTTGAGTCACTATTCGAATAAGTATGTTATTATTACTGATAGAGTTAAAGCAGGATCTCTAGGCATAAATCTAGCATGTCTACTTGTACTTTGAATAAACCGTGAGTCATAGAAGAATCTACTAGTACTGGATTATAAATAGAATGAGAGAGAGAGAGGGGTGAAGTGGTGTAAACCATCGGCCGCCTTGATGAAGATGGGCTCGCCATCGCAGTGCTTGGCGATAACCCGGTGGCGGTGCTGAGTCGAAGGGCGGCGGTGCAGTAGCGTCGTCGTCCATGGGTCGGTGTAGAGGTCGCAGGGCAGCCCGGCATCGTAGCAGCCCTTCGGTGTAGATGCAGAGGCGGTGGCGGCGCTTTCCGTCGCTGGCAGCGCCCCCTCTGTGATCGGTTAGGGTTTAGGACTGTAGGTGGGGTGCTAGGCGGCTCAGGCAAACCTCGTGCTTGGCGCCCTCGGCCCCCACCTCCTATTTATGGCGCTGTGCAACGGGGGCCCACCAACCATATTAGGGTTAGGCGCTCTTGATTAGGGCGCGGATCCAAGGGCCCAATTGACCGGTGGAGATCAACTAACATTCTCCCCTTTGATCTCACTTATAACTTAAACTTAACTTACTTACTTTCTCTTGTTCCCATTCCATCATAGATCAGTGCATAGAGCGTGCCTCATCGTCATGGTCTCTTGCCATTAGATTAAATAGCTACAATACACCTCTCTATTTTTGAAACAGATTCTTAACTAGGCCCTTATTGTTCAGAAATCATAGGCTTTCCCTTGAACCCATGCCGGCTACGTGTTCTCTGAACACACTGGGTGGTAAGCCTTTTGTAAGTGGATCCACGAGCATCTTTTTTGTTTTTATATGCTCAAGACTAATTATATGATCCTAGACTTTATCTTTCACAACATAATACTTTATGTCAATGCGTTTGACAGCACCACTTGACTTATTATTGTGAGCATAATATACTGCTGGATTATTATCGTAGTATAACTTAAGTGGTTTATGTATGTCGTCTACCACTTTCAACCCGGGCATGGATTTCTTTAGACAATTCACCTGCCCTGTGGCCTCATAACATGCTACAAACTTGGCATACATTGTGGACGATGTAGTGACGGTTTGCTTTGAGCTTTTCCACGATATAGCTCCTCCTGCGAGAGTGAATATGTATCCTGACGTAGACTTTCTTTCATCTCCCGCATAATCAGAATCTGTATACCCCTCTATTTGCAGGAAATCAGATCTTCTGTACGTTAACATGAGACCCTTCGTACCTTGCAGGTAACACAAAACTTTCTTTACTAATTTCCAGTGTTCTATTCTTGGATTACTTTGATATCTGCCAAGCAACTCGGTAACAAACGCTAAGTCAGGGCGAGTATACACTTGAGCATACTGTAAACTTCCGACAGCTGAACTATATGGAACCGTTTTCATTTGATCAATCTTATATTGGTTCCTGGGACATTGAAATTCCCCATATCTGTCGCCCTTGACTATGGGAGCAGGTGATGACTTACAATTTTACATATTGTATTTCTTTAGAACTTTTTCTAAGTATGCCTTTTGTGATAATCCTAAAACCCCCTTTTCTCTATCTCGGTGAATCTCTATTCCTAAGACGAACGAAGCTTCACCTAGATCCTTCATATCAAACTTTGAGGACAAGAACTTCTTTATTTCTAGTAGTAGATTAACATCATTGCTAGCGAGCAAGATGTCATCCACATACAAGACTAGGAAAATGTATTTCCCATTCTTGAACTTTGTATAAACGCAATTGTCCTCTATATTTTCTTGAAACCCAAACTTTCTTATTGTACTATCAAACTTGAAATACCACTGTCTTGAAGCTTGCTTTAATCCATAAATGGATTTCTTCAGGCGGCATCCCATGCGTTCTTTTCCTTCCACAACAAAACCTTTCGGTTGTGCCATGTAAACATTTTTCCTCCAAATTCCCGTTTAGGAACGCCGTCTTTACATCCATCTGATGTAATTCTAAGTCGTAATGTGCTACAAGCGCCATTATGATTCTAAAAGAATCCTTACATGAGACTGGAGAAAATATCTCATTGTAATCTATGCCTTCTCTTTGTGTGAAACCTTTCGCCACAAGTCGCGCTTTAAACCTTTCTAAATTCCCTTTGGAGTCATGTTTAGTTTTATAGACCCATTTATAGCCTACTGTCTTGGCTCCTTTAGGAATTGTTTCTAAGTTTCAAACTCCATTGGTTTTCATTGATTTCATTTCATCTTCCATGGCTTCAAGCCACTTGGATGAGTGAGCGCTTCTCATGGCTTCTTCAAATGAGGTGGGATCACCCTGCATTTGAAATTCCTCACATTCATAAACTTTATAATCATCAGGAATGACTGATCTCCTGACTCTTTGAGACCTTCTAGGGGCCTCGTTAGATGATGCTTGTTCTATATGAGGCTGTTGTTGCTCTTCCGCATGTGTGACAATGGGTTCTTGGGGATCCTGAAGGATAGGTTCCTCATGCTCATTCATTGTTGCCACAGAAGAACTAACAACAGGTGCTGTTACTACAGTGTCTTGCACTGTTGGTACAACAACGACATGTAACGTAAAAATGGCTCCTGAACCATAGGAGTGGGCACATATACCCGCTTCTCTTCAAAACTTATTTCTCGCGCTACCATGCTCCCCCTGATCATATCATCCTCCAAGAAGACAGCATGTCTTGTTTCTACAAACTTCGTTTGTCTGTCAGGACAATAGAAGCGATAACCTTTTGACTTTTTTGGATAGCCAATGAAATGGCAGCTGACTATCTTAGAGTCCAGCTTCCCTATGTTTGGGTTAAATACTTTTGCCTCAGCTGGACAACCCCACATACGTAAATAGTTTAGTGAGGGTTCTTTTCATGTCCACAACTCATACGGTGTCTTGGGCACCAACTTACTTGGTACTCGATTAAGAATATGAATGGCAGTTTTTAACGCCTCCATCCATAAACTTATCGGTAAGGTAGAGTAACTTATCATGCTTCTCACCATATCCATTAAGGTACGGTTGCGTCTTTCAGCTACTCTATTTTGCTGAGGCTCGCCCGGTGTAGAATACTGGGCTACTATGCCATTTTCCTGTAAGTACCTTGCAAAGGATCCAGGAACTTGGCCATATGAGGTGTGTCGACCGTAGTACTCTCCCCCACGGTCAGACCTTACAACCTTAATCTTTAAGTTGTGCTGATTTTCTACTTCAGCCTTGAATACTTTAAATTTATCCAATGCTTCTAATCTTTCTTTAATTGGATAAATATAGCCAAAACAAGAATAGTCATATGTGAATGTTATAAATGAATCATAACCATCCACACTCTTCACAAGAAAAGGACCATAGATGTCTATGTGGATTGTTTCTAAAATTCCTGCGCTTCGTTTGGCATCTTTTTTATTTTCTTAACCTACTTTCCTTTTATGCAATCTATGTATTGTTCTAAATCTGAAATTTCTAAAGGTGAAGGAATTGATTTCTTAATCAATCGCTCTATTCTCCCCCTCAAAATATGGCCTAAACGACAGTGACATAATTTCAAAGATACATCATGCACTCTCTTCCGCTTATTTGTTGCATTCATAGACGAGGAAGCATTCTCATTCTCAGTACTCACATCATTCACATTCTCAGAAAGTGATAATAAATAAAGCTTGTCTTGTTGGAAGGCAAGACCAACACATTTATTATTATAAACAATCTGACATTTGCCATTACCAAAATGGCAATCATATCCATCGTCATGTAAACATGAAACACTTATTAAGTTTCTTCGCAAAGAGGGTACAAATAGAACATCTGAAAAGCTTAAGTAGAAAACCATTAACTAATTCTAGAGAAAGATCTCCAATGACTTCAACTTGAGCTTCAATTCCATTTGCTACTTTAATTCTTCTTTCTCCTCTTTGTAGGGTCCTCCTCGTATAGAATCCCTCACTTCAGTAGGTTCTTTAGGAAGTCTGGACAGTCCCTCTTGTAGTGTCCATGCTTCTTGCACCATTTGCACTGATCCTTTTCAACTTGAACGTTGTTGTTCTTCTAATGGTGCTCAGTCTGAGGGGCTTTCTCTTGAGGTTTGGCATTCTTATTGAAGTTCTTTTTCTTGTCCTTGACAAGGTTAGTAGACTCGCCCTACAAGGACTTCAGCCTTTCCTCTTCTTAAACACACATTGCGATGAGCTTTTTTATGTCCCACTTGTCGGGCTGCATGGTGTAGTTAACAACAAAGGTTTCATATTCCTTTGGCAAGGAAGCAAAAACCAAATGAATCAGAAACTCATCCTTGAGCCCCAAATCCATTGGCTTCAGCTTCGAAGCCGTGTTGCTCATCTTCAAAATGTGCTCTCTGATACCGCCATCAGTATATTTTTGATTGAACAATTTTTTGATCAATGTACTAGCATAAGATTTTGAAGAGCCAATGAACTAACTCTCCACCTTCTTTAGGTACTCCGTGGCGGTATCACAGTCTAGGATAGACCTCCTTATAGCATCTGGATTGTGGACTTGG